TGACGTGACGGCGTACATCGTGACGAACGTGATCTCCATCACTGACGGCCAGATCTATCTCGATACGAAGCTTTTCACCGGTGGCCAGCGGCCCGCAGTGAACATTGGTCTCTCCGTGTCGCGCGTGGGTTCGTCCGCTCAGAACGTGGCGATGAAGGGTGTTGCTGGTAAACTGAAGGGTATTCTTGCCGAGTACCGCAAGCTGGCCGCCGACTCTGTGGGCGGGCAGCAGGTGCAGACGATCCCCATGATCCGTGGTGCACGCTTCGTTGCGCTGTTCAATCAGAAGCAACCGTCGTACTTCATGAGCGCCATCGTATCACTGTATGCGTGCCTGAATGGCTACCTGGACGATGTGAAGGTGCAATACGTGAAGTTCTACGAATACCTGCTGGTGCACAAGGACCTGAGCATCATGTATGGATCGGCGAAGAACAAGTTTTTCTACATGTACATGCACGAACTGAACTATCTGATCCGTTTCTTTACCCTAAATAGCCCTGTCCTACACGACGAGCTTGAGGAGATGCTGAAGCAGCACACACAGCTTTTCCTGCAACACTACCAGTCAAAGATGAATGCAATAAAGAGCGAAAAGGAGGTGAAGGCGCTGAAGAACCTATTGTATTCCTGCAAGCGCGCTGTATAGTGGTGCTTCTTTTTTTTTTTTTTTAGGTGCTTGTGAAGAGATTTTTCATAGGAGAAGGTAGCTAACTTAACGAATGTGTATTTATCCTGATAAATGAAGGCATTCTTTATGATACTTTTCTACCGTATGAATTTTAGAAAGGCCACGACTTTAGGGTGCCGATGGCGGCCGGAGAACCCTGATTTTTATTCTACCTTCCCACCCACCCTTTTTTGATTCCCACCGCGCGGCGGGGTCTTGTGGCTGGAGGACCCCAAAGCCTGCCACTTCGTAATAAATAAATAAATATATATAGATATCCCATCGGAATAGAGTGAACAGGCCACTATTGTGTCTAAAGGATTTATGTATGCAATTACTTGGTGTTAAACTTTGAGGATATGGTGAATCCATTCTTATTCCATTCATTCCTTTCTTATTCCTATCTGGTTTCATTCCTATTATTGACAAACTGCAGGATTCGGCCGGCGGCCCAGAAGATTATTTTTAATATATCGGTTTGATTTTGTTTCGGATTGGATTTTCTGTGGTTTGATTCTGCTGTGGATTATATATATATATATATATATAATAGGATGTGTGTGTGTGTGTGTTCTTTGTTGTTGCATATTTTAAATAAAGATTGAAAGTAGAATGTCGAAGATTACGTCGAAGGGGTGGTGCTATGCCCGTTGTGGCCCGATTTCCCGTGTCCTGAAACATGTGACGTTCGAAGTTGTACCAAAAAAGGAAGAAGTTATAGTTGATGTACTGCAAGCGCCGTTGCATCGTACAGATGCAGCCGTGGTAAATGGCACGGCTTTGGGGCGGAGACGGTTTTCTTCTGCTGGGTTTCCAAGAGTGGGAGGCTGCGAGGGGGTGGGGAAGGTGGTTGAGGCCGGTGCTTCCCAGAATGTGAAGGATGGTGATACGGTGTGGGTGGCGCCGCCTCATGGTACGTGGGCAACGCGTGTTGCAGTTGATCACAAAATGGTGCATAAAATTGATCCCAAACACGTTTCCCTTGCCGTTAACGCCTCCAATTATATTGTCGCCCAGCATCTCCTGAATGGGTTTGCAAGCCTTCGGAAAGGGCAAGTCATTGTGCAGAACGGTGGCAGCAGTCCAACTTCGTTGGCGGTCGCAGCACTGGCGAAGCCGCTTGGTGTAAAGGTTTTCACGGCTTGCACCCCTGGAGAGCGCTTTAAAGGGGCGAAGGAGCGTCACGCCAAGTACAGCAGCGAAGTCTTTGAGTACAACGGGAAGGGAGCCAGAGCCATGCGGCAGGCAATAGGAAACGTTGGTGCGACATTGTATCTCAATGGTGTTGGCGGCCGTCACTTTGATACCTTTTTGGGACTTGTTGGTTGTGGTGGGCATGTAGTTTCGTACGGTGCACAAAATGGTGTGGGATTGATGATTTCTGGTTCAAATCTTATTTACAACGAGGTAACAATACAGGGATTATTTCTCCCTTCATACCTTGCAGGTATTTCCTACAGCGAACGTCAAACACAACTTGATTTTGTACTTCAGCAGCTTTCTTCAATGGGTTTTAGCTATCCGACTTCCGTGGCCGCCTCGCTGGAACAGCTGCCAAATGTGTGGGATGACGCGTTTGTACATGGAGGGAAAAAAGGTGTGGTTATCGTAGGAAAATAAATTGAGAGAAGTGTTTGTTGAGCGGTGTGGAAGTGTTATATATATATATATATATATATATATATATATATAATGTATCTGCGTGTGTGTGAGTGTGTGTGTTGCTGTCATTTTAGATTTTTGTTTTTTAGCTAGCAATGCTCTTTTAATGCAATTCTTTTATTATTATTATTATTATTATTTTAATGGGAGGGGATTGGGTGGGTGGTATTGGAGGGGAGGAAACAAATGGTGATAATGGATTCTTTCTGACTTATAGGCGAGCAATGTATCACAATTTCGCTGGCATGTCATTAAGTATTTGTGTAACAGTGGCTTTTTTTTTTTACCACTGTCGGTTGTGTGTTTGTTTGTTTTTTGCGTAGGCTTCAGGTGGTCATGGGTAACAGTCGCATGTATATTGCACGTGGGTAGTAAAACAAAAGCCAATGATAAGGGGGTTTGTGCGTACATTTTTTCGTTTGTACGTTTGAGTGGGTACATCTTCTCTTTGAAGAAAAACGTAATGTGTTTATTTGTTTCTTTGATGCCTCGATTTGTTTTCTTTTGCCATAAGACATCATTAAAGTCATACTGTAATCTCACTTCTACCACGCAATTGCGCACTCTTCCTGTGGCCGATTATTATTATTTCCTTTTTCTTTTTCTTCCTTTTCCTTTCTTTTTTCTTATAATTTTTTTTTTTTTTTTGTATGTGTGTGTGCGTATATGTATTTGGTTTTGGTATTGTATGTATTCAGGTGGTCATTAGAAGTGAGGGGGTAGGGAGAAAGGTTTTCAATTGGCATCATGCCACTCTCGGATGGCGCCAGAGTGGCCATGCACGTTGACGCCCTTGCCGTGCTGGACGATATACGGCGAACAGGGCAACTCATAGAAGAGTTCCGCTGGCTGAAGAAGCACGGTGGAAGCCGTGTGGCGCTGGAGCGACTGCGATCAGAAATCAACAAACTTAAAGCGTCTCAAGCCAGTTTACTCGAATCTCGAGGAAAAGGGAAAGATCCGCACGGTGCACAGTACGAAACCTTCCATGCATCGCCATCATATCAGGGTGATGGATTGATTATTACTCCGCGATCACGCCCTGACAGACTCCAGCAGGAAGGTTTAGAGGCCCCTATGCATGTTGGTTGTACGCCTGATGTAGACAGAAGGGGTGTAACGGAAAAACATGGAACAATTGCATTAGACCATAAACAGTATGATAAGCCCAATCAAGACAAAGAGAGGGTCCATTTAAAACCACTTTTGTCTTCGACTCCTTCTAACCAGGAATACAAGAGATATTGCTCCGTTGTATTTGCAGTTGTTCTGGCAGAGGCACATATAAGACGTGAAATTATTCACAAATACGAAAAACGTCGATTAAAGCTTATTAACAACTTCAAAGAAGGTTGCATCATCATTGCATTGTCAAATAGACCACCATACCTCCACGGTGTATCAGGAACATCAAACAGCAATGTTGGCCCACGTCACGAGTATTACCTTGTCTCAGAACCAAATAAAGAATGCCATTCAACATCAGTAAGAACCTCCATAATTCAGCACACCCACCGTACTAATTCATTTTCCTACATCAAGCAACAGGAGTTGTTTATCCCGCCAATCCATTCTATGAAAGAAGAAAATCCTTGCAAAACGAACTACGAAACAACGTACGAGAGCAATACCCCATACGAAATAAGTCACACAAAAGCACAACAGAAACAGTGGGCCATAAAAAATGCCAACGAGGAAACCGCCACACGGAAAGCTGAGGAAGAAGAAGCTGCCAGACGGAAGGCTGAGGAAGAAAAAGCTGCCAGACAGAAGGCCGCGGAGGAAGAAGCTGCCAGACGGAAGGCTGCGGAGGAAGAAGCTGCCAGACGGAAGGCTGAGGAGGAAGAAGCTGCCAGACAGAAGGCCGCGGAGGAAGAAGCTGCCAGACAGAAGGCTGCGGAAGAAGAAGCTGCCAGACAGAAGGCTGCGGAGGAAGAAGCTGCCAGACAGAAGGCTGCGGAAGAAGAAGCTGCCAGACAGAAGGCTGCGGAAGAAGAAGCTGCCAGACGGAAGGCCGCGGAGGAAGAAGCTGCCAGACGGAAGGCTGCGGAGGAAGAAGCTGCCAGACGGAAGGCCGCGGAGGAAGAAGCTGCCAGACGGAAGGCTGCGGAAGAAGAAGCTGCCAGACGGAAGGCTGAGGAGGAAGAAGCTGCCAGACAGAAGGCCGCGGAGGAAGAAGCTGCCAGACAGAAGGCTGCGGAAGAAGAAGCTGCCAGACAGAAGGCTGCGGAAGAAGAAGCTGCCAGACAGAAGGCTGCGGAGGAAGAAGCTGCCAGACGGAAGGCTGAGGAGGAAGAAGCTGCCAGACGGAAGGCCGCGGAGGAAGAAGCTGCCAGACAGAAGGCTGCGGAGGAAGAAGCTGCCAGACGGAAGGCTGAGGAGGAAGAAGCTGCCAGACGGAAGGCTGCGGAGGAAGAAGCTGCCAGACGGAAGGCTGCGGAAGAAGAAGCTGCCAGACGGAAGGCCGCGGAGGAAGAAGCTGCCAGACAGAAGGCTGCGGAGGAAGAAGCTGCCAGACGGAAGGCTGCGGAAGAAGAAGCTGCAAGACGGAAGGCTGAGGAGGAAGAAGCTGCCAGACGGAAGGCTGAGGAGGAAGAAGCTGCCAGACAGAAGGCTGCGGAGGAAGAAGCTGCCAGACGGAAGGCTGAGGAGGAAGAAGCTGCCAGACGGAAGGCCGCGGAGGAAGAAGCTGCCAGACAGAAGGCCGCGGAGGAAGAAGCTGCCAGACGGAAGGCTGAGGAGGAAGAAGCTGCCAGACGGAAGGCTGCGGAGGAAGAAGAGGCTTTTCTGAGTCGTGATCGCGAGCTTATACGGAGTGCGACCGCCCATTGTATCAGCGGTTTTGCAGATAATTTTCTGTCAGAGTGTGTTGCGAGCGCTGCTGGCACCTTCCGCACTGAGCTGGATAGACGAGTGGCGGAAGAAGAGGCTGCCAGACGGAAGGCTGCGGAAGAAGAGGCTGCCAGACGGAAGGCTGCGGAGGAAGAAGCTGCCAGACGGAAGGCTGAGGAGGAAGAAGCTGCCAGACGGAAGGCTGCGGAGGAAGAAGCTGCCAGACGGAAGGCTGCGGAGGAAGAAGCTGCCAGACGGAAGGCTGCGGAAGAAGAAGCTGCCAGACGGAAGGCTGAGGAGGAAGAAGCTGCCAGACGGAAGGCTGCGGAGGAAGAAGCTGCCAGACGGAAGGCTGCGGAAGAAGAAGCTGCCAGACGGAAGGCTGAGGAGGAAGAAGCTGCAAGACAGAAGGCCGCGGAGGAAGAGGCTGCCAGACGGAAGGCTGCGGAGGAAGAAGCTGCCAGACGGAAGGCTGCGGAGGAAGAAGCTGCCAGACGGAAGGCTGCGGAAGAAGAAGCTGCCAGACGGAAGGCTGAGGAGGAAGAAGCTGCAAGACAGAAGGCCGCGGAGGAAGAAGCTGCCAGACAGAAGGCCGCGGAGGAAGAAGCTGCCAGACGGAAGGCCGCGGAGGAAGAAGCTGCCAGACAGAAGGCTGCGGAAGAAGAGGCTGCCAGACGGAAGGCTGCGGAGGAAGAAGCTGCCAGACGGAAGGCTGCGGAAGAAGAAGCTGCCAGACGGAAGGCTGAGGAGGAAGAAGCTGCAAGACAGAAGGCCGCGGAAGAAGAAGCTGCCAGACAGAAGGCTGAGGAGGAAGAAGCTGCCAGACGGAAGGCTGCGGAAGAAGAAGCTGCAAGACGGAAGGCTGAGGAGGAAGAAGCTGCCAGACGGAAGGCCGCGGAGGAAGAAGCTGCCAGACGGAAGGCCGCGGAGGAAGAAGCTGCCAGACAGAAGGCCGCGGAGGAAGAAGAGGCTTTTCTGAGTCGTGATCGCGAGCTTATAGGGAGTGCGACCGCCCATTGTATCAGCGGTTTTGCAGATAATTTTCTGTCAGAGTGTGTTGCGAGCGCTGCTGGCACCTTCCGCACTGAGCTGGATAGACGAGTGGCGGAAGAAGAGGCTGCCAGACGGAAGGCTGAGGAGGAAGAAGCTGCCAGACAGAAGGCCGCGGAGGAAGAAGCTGCCAGACGGAAGGCCGCGGAGGAAGAAGCTGCCAGACAGAAGGCTGCGGAAGAAGAGGCTGCCAGACGGAAGGCTGCGGAGGAAGAAGCTGCCAGACGGAAGGCTGCGGAAGAAGAAGCTGCCAGACGGAAGGCTGAGGAGGAAGAAGCTGCAAGACAGAAGGCCGCGGAAGAAGAAGCTGCCAGACAGAAGGCTGAGGAGGAAGAAGCTGCCAGACGGAAGGCTGCGGAAGAAGAGGCTGCCAGACGGAAGGCTGAGGAGGAAGAAGCTGCCAGACGGAAGGCTGAGGAGGAAGAAGCTGCCAGACGGAAGGCCGCGGAGGAAGAGGCTGCCAGACGGAAGGCTGAGGAGGAAGAAGCTGCCAGACGGAAGGCTGAGGAGGAAGAAGCTGCAAGACAGAAGGCCGCGGAAGAAGAAGCTGCCAGACAGAAGGCTGCGGAGGAAGAAGCTGCTAGACGGAAGGCTGCGGAAGAAGAAGCTGCCAGACGGAAGGCTGCGGAGGAAGAAGCTGCCAGACGGAAGGCTGAGGAGGAAGAAGCTGCAAGACGGAAGGCTGAGGAGGAAGAAGCTGCAAGACGGAAGGCTGAGGAGGAAGAAGCTGCCAGACGGAAGGCTGAGGAGGAAGAAGCTGCCAGACAGAAGGCCGCGGAGGAAGAAGCTGCCAGACGGAAGGCCGCGGAGGAAGAAGAGGCTTTTCTGAGTCGTGATCGCGAGCTTATACGGAGTGCGACCGCCCATTGTATCAGCGGTTTTGCAGATAATTTTCTGTCAGAGTGTGTTGCGAGCGCTGCTGGCACCTTCCGCACTGAGCTGGATAGACGAGTGGTGGAAGGAGAGGCTGCCAGACAGAGGGCCGCGGAGGAAGAAGCTGCCAGACGGAAGGCTGCGGAGGAAGAAGCTGCCAGACGGAAGGCCGCGGAGGAAGAAGCTGCCAGACGGAAGGCTGAGGAGGAAGAAGCTGCCAGACAGAAGGCTGCGGAAGAAGCTGCCAGACGGAAGGCTGCGGAAGAAGCTGCCAGGCGGAAGGCTGCGGAAGAAGAAGAGGCTTTTCTGAGTCGTGATCGCGAGCTTATACGGAGTGCGACCGCCCATTGTATCAGCGGTTTTGCAGATAATTTTCTGTCAGAGTGTGTTGCGAGCGCTGCTGGCACCTTCCGCACTGAGCTGGATAGACGAGTGGTGGAAGGAGAGGCTGCCAGACAGAAGGCTGCGGAGGAAGAAGCTGCCAGACGGAAGGCTGAGGAAGAAGAGGCTGCCAGACGGAAGGCTGCGGAGGAAGAGGCTGCCAAACAGAAGGCTGAGGAGTTTATTGAGACATCAAGGAATAATGAAGTTAGGACTGTGTCTGGATGTGTAGAAAGTGTCTTTTTGCAGAATAAGTTGGATGAAAGATTTCCCCGAATGGTGAAGGAGGATGAGTTATCGTGTTTTCAAGAGTGTGTTTTTAATGTATGTGAGGCATTGCTAATTGAATGGCTTGTTGAGGCTGCTGATTTGGTGAATAGTGAGGGCGGTAGTGCTATTACCACGGGCACTTTGGATGTCACGGGGAGGACTTGCCCACCCGATATCAAGGCTCACGACTCCGATAGAAGCGATTCTTTGGGTGTATTGGGTGGAAAGTCTTCAAAAGCTAGCCCGTTACAGGCGAGGGAAACTAGCGCTGTAGAGAGGGTGCAATATGGTGAATCTGTAGAAAATACGGCAGGTGATTCTCTACTTGTCTTGGGGGACCCCACGCCGGTTTTACATAAAGAGGATGCGCAAAGTGTTGTCACGGTTCCCATCTCTGCTGCAGTTGTTAAAGCCGATATCATCCGTAAGCAACTGTTATCAGGCGATCAGGTCAACATTGCTTTGGGTCCTGCTGTTACGGGCGAGGTTTGGTCGTGCCCCACTCCCGGTGTCAAAAAGGGTGGAGGCAGCAACGCCGCGATGACGGAGGCGGTGACAGTGTACATAGTCGAGCAAGCGGGTGTGGCTGTAGAGGCGATTGGTGACGCTGGTGATTTATCGTACGCAACGGTAGAAGCAACGCTTTGGCGTGGTCTTATTGGGGCGACCTCCGCCGCCGTTGCGTCGACAGATGAAGTGACTGAAGAGTGGCGTGCCGGTCTTAGGGCGTTGGCGGAGCGCATTGCCTCAGATTACGTCTATTTTGCGTCGAAGCAAAAATTGCGGAAGCTCGATGAATATCTTTGGCACGCTGAGGCGTTTCTTACACCGGAAGAAATCACAGCGCGCTCCATCGCCGCCGTCACCCCGCGGCGCTTTTTCAATGGCTTGCAGCGAAGCGATGTGCGGTTCCTGATACATCACTATTTGGAACTCGCCCGCAAAGGGACGCTCAACGAGGACATTTACACAGAGGCAAGATTGCGCGAAAATCTTTTTGAACGGCAGCACGATGATGTCGCGTCACCTTTGCTTTCACAGCAAACCAGCGGCACAACGACGAAAAAAAACAATGCTAGTGGTCGAACTATTCTTGCCGTTAACCGACGCCGTGCCGGGCTAACGCAGTTGGTGCTTGGGCATGCCCTGGAAAACCTTTTGGAGGAAACGGTTGCAGAGACCAGTAAGTGGATTGCGTCTCTTGTGGCAAATTAGTTTCTTTGGAAATGAAGGCGCAGGGGGAAAACAGAGTGAAAGCACGAGAGAATAACTTAATTTTAAATTCTTCTCCCACCCATTTACCTTTCTTCTTCTTCTCCATCTGTACGGCTATGTGTTGTGTCTATTGCATTCTTTTTTCTTTTTTTTTTACTTGGTATTTCTCCTCTCTTGCCGTTGTGTCCTTTGCGTTGTCGTTTGTTTGTCTGTTTGGTTAATTGGTTGGTTGGAGGTTATGGCTTTTCGGGAACCCAGTGGCGACGGGCAATTTCTTTTTTTCTTTCTTCTTTTGGCATTGCATGCATCACAAGCCGTGAAGGTTGAGGAACCAACATTTCGGTATTTGTTGATTGCTCTGGGTGTTTCATTGTTGAATATTATTTTTTTATTTTATTTTCTGGCGGTGAAATTTGTTGTTGTTGTTGTTCTATGTGTTTTCTTCTTCTCTTTTCTTTTTTTTTTCTTTTTCTCCAACAGAAGGGAAATGGACCCGTTTGCCTTTATTGTGCAGGGCCTTGAAAAACCCGTGCGTGTGCACACGGTGAGCAACGAGACAGTGGATGGTACGCTGTTGGCGGTGGATGATCACTGTAACGTGATGTTGCGGGGGTGGAAGGTGGTGGGGGACGACACGAAAGGCGTAGAGGGGCCGGCATCATCGTCCCTATTAGCCCCTATTCGTTTTATTCGTGGCGCACAAATAAAAACCATTACACTTGTACAGTAGTGCATGTCTGTATGCATCTCTATGAGACGAGATAGAGAGAGAGAAAGAGAGAAAGACAATTGGCATGGAGAGGCCGCTGCAGATGAAGATGATGGTGGCGGTCTTCTGGTACTTTGAGAGGCCACGCAGCGCGAGGAAGATGCAGAAAGACATGGGGAATTGGCGGCAGTGGTGCGTGCATTCGTCTTCCTTTATTGTTGTTGTTATCTCACCTGTTTTCGTTGTTTTTTTTTTTTTTGTTTTTTTTTTTGCAGTGGTAAAGTCCTGTCGGATTGCGCCACCTCACTCTCATTTTCTCTCCGTTGTTCCTGTTTTATTTTTTATTATTCATCTTGTTGGCGCAGTGACTGCAGTGAGGAGGGGGTGGGGGGTATAACCGCTAGGCGGAGGAGGAAGGGCGAAGACGGAAGGCAAAAAAAAAAAAAAACACGAAAAAAAAGGTAACAGCCGACCTGTGTGTGTGTGTGTCTGTGGTGGGGGGTGGGGGGGCGAGAGGGAGTAAAGAAAAAAAAAAAATAATAAAAGGGAACTTGCATGAATCCAGCAGCAGGGGGTGTGGTATACGACACGTTGTCGTCACAGCCACAGAGGATTATGCCCCAACCACACTACGCCGCATTGGAAGCCAATGAGCGTTACTTTCGTCAGGAGAAAGTAGGTGAAGGGTCATACGGTGTTGTGTACAAATGCCTTGATAGGCAAACAGGTCGCATTGTCGCTGTGAAACGGATCTCGTTGAAGCTTAAGGATGAAGGGGTACCGGCAACGGCGGTACGGGAAGTGTCTCTTCTTCGAGAATTGAATCATCCGTACGTTGTGCAGCTTCTTGATGTATCCCTTCAGGATTCGAAGTTGCTTCTTATCTTTGAATACATGGAAAAGGATTTACAGGGATTATTGAAGCAGCGAAACACACCACTTGTGGGAGGAAAACTGCAACGTATTATGTTTCAGTTATTGTTAGGATTACACGCCTGTCACAGCCGTCGCTTCGTACATCGTGACATTAAGCCAAGCAATATTCTCATCAGCCGCGATGAGTCGGTGGTGAAATTGGCGGATTTTGGTTTGGGTCGTGCCTTTCGTGTTCCGCTGCAAACATACACGACGGAGGTGATGACACTGTGGTACCGTGCACCGGAGGTCCTACTCGGGGATAATCATTACCTTCCTGCCATTGATGTGTGGTCGATGGGATGTGTCATGGCAGAACTTGCGAAAGGAACGCCTCTCTTTGCCGCTGATACCGCCATCAGCCAATTGTTTGCCATATTTCAAGTCCTCGGCACCCCGTCGGAGTCTACATGGCGTGGTGTGTCCTCCTTGTCGCACCACAATGTCGACTTCCCTCAGTGGCGGCCTACCTCACTGAGTAGTGTCATCCCCACACTGGAGCCAGAGGGAATCGACCTGCTGCAACGCATGCTGCTCTACGATCCACGTCAGCGTATCACCGCGTATGACGCGCTTCGTCACAGTTGGTTTGACGACGTGCGGCATGACATGAGTGAGGAGGCCGCTCTTTAATCTCCGAGTGGATTTACAAGAAGACATCCGTGACAGTTGTGTGTGTGTGCGTCTGCCTGGCGTACTAATGAAGCACAACGAAGAGGAAGGGAGGACAAATATTTATTTGTCATGCATGTTGTCGTCATGTGGACAGCGGCAAAGAGAAACAGAGGGAAATCGCAGCTGAAGAAAACAGAACCAACAAACAACAAAAAAAAAAAAAAAGGTAATAAAATTAAAAATAAAATTAAAATAAAATAAAACCTGTTTTTTTTTTTTTTTTTTTTTTTTTTTTTTTTTTTTTGGGGTGGAGCCC